CAATAATGTTGCTTACTACATTTAGGTAGTTCAAAAGTCAAAAGGTATGATACAGATATAGATATATCTCTATCACATCACTGTGAAAAAGTTGCAGTTGTAGAGAACATGCAACTTGTTATTTTTTCCACCTTCATCTCTGAGTAAGCATTTTATACATATTGTGCTTTTTTAAGATCATGGGGTGGTAATTATCAAGACATATATTGCCAAGTTTACTAATAATACGAGGTTAAAAGTAATAGCTATATATATATAGCACTGATCTACAATAATTCAAACTATATACACAGATATTTACATGGTCATATATGCGCATACATACATGCTAAATCTCAAAACAAGAATTTAATCTTAAAATCTTTAAAAAAGATATTTCTTAATAACCAATCACAGCGCGAGGAGCTAAGGCCTCCATCCGCTGCCTGCATGCTTCGATAAGCTATTTTTATCGCACTTATGGCTACGCATAATACTTTTTTGTCGTATTCATTTGTAAACTTTATTCACGTCTGGGAATTGTTTAAAACCGCTAAATTCGTCTGGAGATTTGCCGGTATTATTAAAAATTAGTCTTGTCAAATAAATTCGAATTGTAAGCTTATGTATCGATTACCAAAAAAATCGATTTCTAAAATATCTATATTTTTTTCATGTTTGCATTTATAATGTAAATATAAATCCATTTTATGAGAAAAAAATTCCCTTCATCATAAAAAAATAAGGGGACTGATTCAGAAGGATTTCTGTATCTATTTTGAGACTGCTACGTCTCCGGCGCTGTGGGAAGAGCAGCCTCTACGCCTTAGCGTAACAAATCGCAGGTATCGGACGAGCCGGAGCGGCTGAGGCTGGTCGCCAAAGGCGACCAACAAGCCGAAGCTGCGGAGGCGAGGAACAAGGTTACAGCAGACGGAGGCTCACTCTAGGGGTAGGACAGACTCGTACCAGGTGGAGTCAGGGTCAATCAAATCGGTTCTTTGACATAAGTTGAACCTAACCTATTTTATTTGTTATCTGCCCTAATAGGTACTGTTAAAATAAAACAAATTTCAATAAGAGATCATTTATCATGGTATCTTTCTTGTTGTTCATAAAATGGGTTTATATTTACATTATAAATAGAAACATTAAAAAAATATAGATGTTTTAGAAATCGATTTTTTGTGAACCGATACATCAGCTTACGATTTGAATCGATTTAAAAATCGACCTTTTTCGGAAAGAATCGACATCCCCATTGACGTCGACCATGACATTACAAAATGGCGCCAGTTTTACGGTAGGATTAGTCATAAACATTGCAAGAATAATTGATTTTCAATAATTTTTCTGTCAAAAATTACGCGTTTCCGCATGTTGAAACTTTGTGTGTGTGCTTAAAATAGTGTAACTTTTCTGTAAAAATACGTATCAACAGCCAACTCGACGGACGTCAATGGAAAGCTAAGCCATGTTATCTCTTATGACATACACGGGATGATACGATGAATAAGTAATAAATTTTGGACGCACTGATTGATGAAATTATATTTACAAAATTAAATCTTTAAAACGTACGTGATTAATATATGTGATCTTTGGTAAGTACATTAATTACTAGTATTGTACGTACTTAATTAAACTAACCTAAGTTCTGACCACTGTCCTTGCGGTTTGTGCCCCTTTAACCGCACAGGTAATTAATCCTAAGCTACTTTCAAAGTAATCAAACGTTAACTTTCTAGATTTATTCTAATCTAAAAGTGGAATGACTAAGGTTACATATTTAATATCTCTTTTAATTTATTTATTGTTTAATTGCCTTCGCACCACCAGTTTTAACAGGCAAGGGTTAACTGTAAATAGCTAATAATTCTCAAAACTATACAACAATGTGAGAAAAGACGAAAAACTGAGTATTATTAAGTCATCTGTAAACAAAACCGTATTGCAATGGAAGTTGTTATTAGATAACCCACAGTACGAAGTTAGTGGATGATCGAATGTTGTTTTGTCCTCAAGAAGATATATTTACAGAGCCAGAAAAGCCTTTTAATGTCATTGCGAGCCGTAATAAAGCACAAATTAAAAGTATTCACCCTTTCATAGTTCATAGTACTTACATACTAATTATGATTTATAATGCATTTTAAATGAGGAGATTTTTCTAGTATATTCCTAATGATTTCACGCAAGTTTACAACAATGATAGCAATTGCACAATTCAATTCAAAATTAGGTATGTATTATGTTTATTACAGCCCGCAAAACGACCACATAAAAGAACGAGATGAGCTCACGAAATGTTAATTAAATGAAGGGCGCATTAATCCTCGTCACTAAATACGCTCGCGTGAGCATGTTTTGCAAACAATTACCACACTTAAAAATTCAACATTCCAGATAAAAAATGGGGCTTACTGAAAACTGGATTGTAAAAATGTAAAATTTGTAATAGCATGTAAGAGCTACCGTGAAGTGGAGGTGTAACAATATTCACTACCCTATATCTTCCCGTATTTGTAACAGGCGACTTCTTCTTCTTCTTAAAGTGCCATCTTCTTTCGAAAGTCGGCGATCATTAAGGCAACTTGAATCTTTGATGCCGCGGCTCTGAATAAGGAACGGGTGCTCTTTCCAAACCATTGGCGTAGGTTTTTCAGCCAAGATGTTCTTCTTCGACCCACACTTCGTTTTCTTTGGATCTTGCCCTGTATGATGAGTTGTAGTAAATAGTAACAGGCGACAGAGAGTAACAATCCAGGAAATTTACATCTGGCAAGCATGGCAACTATGGCTAATATCCCCCATAAGAGGCAATTGTCCCTATGGGAGCCCTAAGTTCAAAATTAAAAAATGTGTGCAGTTCACACGCAATAGAAGTGAAACCTTCAAATGAAATAAAATATAAAAATAAAAATAAAATAAAAATATTTCACGGCAAATGATTTATTTAATAAGACAACTGTCAACCACAAGTGCGGCGTAAAATATAAGATTGAAGTTGTTGAGATCAAATTTTAGTACAACAAATCAAAATAATAAAAATATGTTATTGAGTTAAATTGCTATGTTACAGCGCCATCTTCTTCATTGGAGTCACTTTAACGAACAAAAATTGATTGGTCTCTCGACGTGGTATGTAAAATAGACGCTAGATGACGTAAAGTTATGAAATCGTGGATTGTTATGAATGGATTGGTATAATATGATAATTTTATTCAATATGGTTAACTTTATTCACTTAATAAATTCGTTAATTTTTATATTGTTTATTTCAACACTTAAAGTTTATATTAAACATCTTTAAAGCACTGCACAAAGAGGAGACCGTGATAATAGGAAACACTGTATTAAAAAAAAAATACAGTTATAATACAGTTATAATACAGTTATATTGTAATAAAAAAAAACTAGCAAATAATACAGTTATGTCGCTAGTTCGTTTCGTGAATTTCAAATCACAACGACGCTAAAGAAGTTTTCACTTTCAAAATATAATAATTTCTTACCAATCATGTTAGTTGTAAACGCGATTTTTCTGTCAAGAAATACTCAGTAGCAGTTTTCTTTACTCACCACATTAAACAACAGCATTAAGCTGCTAAGCGGATCTGAAGGCCGTGTGTTTTAATTCTGCACGGGACAAGTGTTTGGATATAGCCTACAAAAATGTTTCTGGGTCAGGATGTGATTTTTTAAGCATTTAACTCTATTTCAATTTGATTCAAAAGAAATAAAATCCTAGTCTAATATTTAACAAAATAAGATAAGATTCCTTATTATTGGAACCTGAAAACTAATAATCTAAATTATGTCGTGAGGTGGCACCTCATTCCATCCTATCAGTGTCGCAAAAGATAACTACGAAAAGTCAGAAATATCTTGGCATGGCTTCTAATAGATGGCGGCCTTAGACATGATGTGTAACACTACGCTGCGTCGCACAATTGCGACAATTCAGTTCGCTGCGTTGGATGTTTAACTCACTTCTTCAAAATGTGTTGGCGCACAGCGCAGGACCGAGAAAATACGAAAGGTGTTAATGTGTTGAGTTGCCTGTAGAATGAAGAGGAGCAGTAAACTGCGCTTGAGTTACTGAGTTTACGCAAGGAATTTGGCTGAGTTACCCACGTCTATGGCGTCTAATAGCCTGATTACACCTACCGAGTGAAGTGGCGAGACAGTGCCCTCGGCCGAGCGCTCGGTATTTGTAAACACATACACGAGTGCTCGGCCTAGCAACAGGCCAAGACAGCCACTCGGACCCCATTCTATTTATTAAGCCGAGTATCCACCCTCCCGCTTCTAATCGCTATCTCGCTCGCTCACTTGGTGAATCTGAACACCGGCTATTCGGTCATTCGGTAACCACTCGCCACTCGGTCTTATATATTTTAGTTGGAATTCAAAAATGAAAAAATGTCAGTGAAATGTGGTTTTGATACCACAGCAAAATTTATTCAACTGTATGAAATGCATCCCTGTTTTTGGGATTATCAAAACGAGCAAAAACGTGATGCAGCTTATATATATCGATCATCTAAGAAATGAATTTCTGGTTCTCCAAATGCGAGATTTCTCGTGTGCCAACAATTCTGTCAGTTCTTCTGCCAGCAAAGGTATAAGCAACTTGATTGATTCTTTTATCAATTTTTTTCGATACATCGCGTCTGACTGTCTCGCCGCAACTTCAAAAATACGTGTGAACAGCTACTCGGTTACATCACTGTCTCAACCTACTAAGATTTTACTGTCTCGCCACTCTACTAGGTAGGCGTAATCAGGCTAACTATCCCGTTCCCTCTAGACGCAAAACAGACCGCCCCCCCCCTTAAACGTGAGAGGTCCATCTCTAGCTGTGAACTTGCACGTATTGGTTAAGAAGTGAAATAAAATGCATGTTTTCACAATAACTTTTATTTAACTCGCTTCCTAAGTGCCTATGGCTTGCACTTAGGAAGCGATTATTATAATATTATTATAATATTATCTAAATTATAAATTATTTGACTAGACTAATTTTTTCCCATCATTTCCTTTTTCAATTGTTTTGCCGCCGTGTATAGACTATATTTGATTTTAGGGTACCCGTGCAGAAGATCTTGCCAGTCTTTAAATCTCAGGAAAACTACATCAACGACCTGAAGTAAAAACAAAACTAAATTAACATCAGGAAACATGATAGCTAATTCGTATAGCATTATTTAAAAATGGTTAAATCACTGTAAACAATTAAGATAATTAAGAAAGATTCAACGTCTTGTGGTGCTTCGTCGCACTTTAATTCATTCATTCATTCAGTGCTGCCCATTAAGAGTCTACTGCTGGACACAGGCCGCCCCCATACATTATCTCATATTTGCCAGATTTGTCACAGTTGCCACTATTGGCAGGCTGGTTGGCAAGTGCGCTTGCGCTTTTTAAGTACAACCATGTAGACTTTTTAATATTTTTAAGGTATTATCAGGAAGATGTTACTGCTCATCTCCTGATCAGATGTTCAGATTCCTCTATCGCTTCTTACGACACAAATGGGAACATAAGTGATAGTGGCTTCTTTACGCCGCCCCTAACACATGTGACATCTAGTAATGCGACCACCACTCCGCGCGACTTTGCGTGGCGATTGTCAAATCCTTCGTTGAATTGGAGAGGTCCATTCTATAGCAGAGGACTGTTACGGGCTAATGATAGTGACGAAAGAAAAGAGAGTTACATTTAGAGCTGGTAGTAGATATTCCATAACCAATTAGCTAAATTCCTGTAATTATACAAAAATGGGACTCAGGACACAAACAATAGGTAAAGACCCTAGAGCAGCTGAGGATAAGAAGTCTATTGATTTGAAAAGTGATATGTAAGCAATAGACAGGGGTTAAAGATGTTAAAAATTAGGTTTAAAATATACCTCCCGTCTTCTCTCAATTGTGTACACTATCCCCGTCACCAATAATCCCAACACCACTTCTCCCAATATTACATTAGGAAAGACACAAAAACTTCGATAATATGACACTTGTTTCGCCTCTAAAGGAGACATCATCATCAGGAGAAATAGACTCTTTGGTGGCTGACCACTAAGTCAACCTAAGCCTGATACTATTATTGTAATAGACAGGGATTTACAAGTGTAGAATAAGACTTTTTTATAGGATTGGGTGACAAACGAGCACACAGTCCACCTGATGGTAAGTGGTTACTGTGAACCATAGACATCTACATGTATCCTCAATAAAGACTCAAAATACAGATGCGTTGTCACCCGTGAGGACTAAGATGGAATGCCTCTTTTCCAGTAAAAAGGGTCTCCGCTTCTCCTCTCTCACCATACGAAACACAGCAGTGTTAAGCTGCTATTTTACGCTGGTATTCTGTGAGTGCGTGGTCTTTCCCCGGTCGAGCCGACCCATTCGTGCTACAACTATGCTACTAATATAGCTGCAGCAGGCTCTACCACGTAAAAATTTCAACACAACTTTATCCTTAAAACTATTTTCTACTTTATTTCTTGATATTATATTGTTTTTTCTTAAATTCTGAGATTTTAATTCAAAACTCACCTGAAAAGCCACGGTAATAAGCAATAATTTCCTAGTTATGGTATCACAATTGTATTATTGTATTATGAATAGAGTAAACTTTATAAAGCTGTTACAAATATATTTTGTAAGTAATAAAAATGGTATTACCGTCCGTGACATATAGGTGAATTGAAATGGAGAGTTTGGAAAGAGACCTGGTATAAATCCAAAATAATCGTTCGTACTTAAAAGGGATATCATTTTTTTGTCGCCGCTGAAAAATAGAAATTTAATAATTTATTAAACGAAACTGTAGTCCAACAAAGTCTTTTTAGGTGCTGATGCTTCTTTCCTGAATAAGAGATTGTCTAAGTAGTTATGAGATACCCTATATCATCTAAATAATAAATTAAAATTTTCATTGAGTATAATTTGAAAAGTAATTTCAAAACAAATATTGATATTCGAAATTAGGCTTTCCAAAGCTTTCTAAATTTCACACAAAATATTAATACCATAATTCTGTCTAATCCGTGCGACAAATTCATAATCGTAGGTGATTTCAATTTTGGTAGTCAAGTAGATTGGAATGTTTGCAGCGATAGTAGCGAGTTGTTACCAACCAATCACTCCTGTCAATATATTTCTGATTTCCTTGATTCTGTTAACACCTGTAGCTTATCTCAGTATAATTGTATACGTAACATAAATGGGAGACTACTTGACTTGGTTTTCTCTAATGACCTTGTAGATGTTAAGGAATGTTATGAACCATTAGCAATGCCCCCAGATATGCACCATAAGCCTTTGGTTATAAAGGCTGATTTTGTTGAATTACATAAACTAGATGATAAAAAGAAAAACAATTATCTCTTTCACAAAGGTGATTACGTGGCTATTAGTTCAGCTCTTGACCAGGTAAACTGGTATGAACTTTTGGGGAATGACTCTCTAGACAATGTGGTTACCCTCTTTTATAATAAATTGTATGAACTTAGGGAACAGTTTATTCCCATAAAATCCACTAGACGCTCGTCACACCCTCCATGGTATAATTCTGCGTTACTAAAGGTCTTAAAAGAAAAACACAAGTATCATCGTAAGTTTAAGTTATATGGTAATTTATCCGACTACCAATCTTTTTCACTATTACGTAAAAGGGCTAACCAGTTAGAGCGAGTCTGCTTTGAATCCTATATTGATAAAATCGAATCTTCCATAACTAGTAACCCAAAAATTTTCTGGTCTTTTATAAAAAGTAGGAATAATGCGTCTACTACTCCTAATGTAATGTATTATGAGGAATCTTCTGCAAACACTGGTGAAGGTATTAGTGACTTATTCGCTAAATATTTTAGTACTACTTTCGTTGAACCAGAATTGGAAACTTCTGATTCTAAATTATTTCCCATAACTGATTACAGTATTAATAGTATTAGCTCAATACACGTCTCAGATAAAGGTATCTTGAAGCTATTACAAGGCCTCGACATCTCTAAATCTGGTGGCTCCGACCATATACCACCAATATTTATCATAAATTGTGCGAAAAGCTTAGTCAAACCCATTAGTATACTTTTCAAGCGGTCATTAACAGAAGGAATAGTTCCACAAGTTTGGAAATCTGCCTTCATAACACCGGTATTTAAAAAAGGCGACAAGTCGAATGTCGGAAATTATCGTCCCATCTCGAAGTTATGCTTGTTTTCTAAAGTTCTTGAAAGAATCGTTTATAATGAAGTCTATTATGCAGTACAAAATTATTTGGGTGATGAACAACATGGGTTTCTTCGAAGATGTTCAACTACTTCTAATCTCATCACGGCTAATGAGTACATCACTAAAGGTATGGAGCAGCGTGCACAGGTAGACGTAATTTACACAGATTACAGCAAGTGCTTTGATCGTATTAATCATCGTGTTCTTTTACAAAAGTTGTTAGCTTCGGGAATACACGGTGACTTGTATAGGTGGTTTTGTTCGTATATAGAGAATCGGACGCAGGCTGTTGTTTTGCGTGGTTACATGTCTGGTTGGTGCTCAATCCCATCTGGTGTTCCTCAGGGCTCATTACTTGGCCCCCTATTATTCACAATATTTATTGCCGATATTAAGTCATGTTTTAAAAATTCTCTCATACTACTTTACGCCGATGACATGAAAATTCTTAAAACTATTCATAATCTAACAGATGTTAAACAATTTCAAGAAGACCTAAACAGGTTCTCTGATTACTGTAAACTCAATAAGCTTCAATTGAATATCTCCAAATGTTCTCATATAACATTCACACGACAAAGATCTAGTATTGGGTTCGGTTATACTCTTCATAATCAGACTATCAGCAGGGTAAATCATATTCATGATCTCGGCGTAATACATGATAATAAATTCATATTTGACAAACACATTGAATATATTGTCAACAAAGCATCCAAGGCTCTTGGTTTCATTTTAAGAACTTCATCCTGCTTCCGCTCTCTTAAAGCTGTTAAGATTTTGTATTGCTCATATGTGCGAAGCCATTTAGAATATGCATCTCAAGTATGGAACCCACAGTATAAGGTTTACATATCTCGTATTGAAAGTATACAAAAAAAATTTCTGAGATACCTCGACTTCAAGGCACAAATAAATTCAGCCAATTATCTAGAAAGATGTAAGAGATATCATTTTTTACCGTTGGAATATAGACGTAAAGTCAATGATATTTGTTTCTTAGTTAATATTGTAAATGGATCTATTGATTCTTCTGAGCTACTTACTCACATAATGATTCGAACCGATTTAATGAGATTTAGACAGCGACCCCTGCTATATATACCTCTTGCTTCAACGAATTATAGAAGAAATTCCTTCTTTCTGCGTAGCGCAATGGAATTTAATAAACTTTCATCTGTAGTAGATATTGACCTATTTTCTACTAGTTCTAAATTTGTAAAAAAAGTGATGAACAGAGAATTTTTCACTCACAGCCGCGACTAGCATGACTCATGTTGCAACCTCTTTGGTCTCACGGAAAGTTGAACTATGCGGTTTTTTTTTTGTAATTTGTTTTTGCCTATTTTTTTGCTTATGTTACTTTTTTTTTGTAAGTAGTTTAAGTAATCCCTAGAGTATTTTAAATTTGTATAAAGTTGGATGAAAGTAATGTGTGGAGGCTTGTAATTAGAAATTCTTATCACCGCTTTGTTACTACCGAAGATATTAGTCTGTAAGCCTTCCTAAAATAAATAAATAAATAAATAAAAATAAATAAATAAAAGCACAAACACTCTACTGCGGGAGACCTTATGGGAAGATAATATTTATTTTATAAACGCATGTTATTTATATTCCTATAGCTAATTCCTTTTATTTAACGACCGCTGGTGGTAAACTAGACACTTTCTAAATATCTTAATAAACAGGCATACAGGTCATCTAATGTAAGTGGATGCTGTGATCCATAGAAATATATATTCACGATTTAAAATGCAGATGCGTCAGCTACCCCTGAGAACGAAGGTGGAAAAAACGTTCTCCTGTTCTCGACACTCATTATGTTATTATTTTACGATTATTTTCTGTGAGGGTGCGGTCCCTCTTCGTTCGAGCTGAACCTCCAGACCTGATAGCTGCAACCATAATATTATGCAGCGCAGTTGTACCACGTACAAAATCTACACTCGCCTTTCTGTAAAATTTTCGCATAAATCTACCTCCATTAACCTGATACACCCTGCTGATTAATAAATATGGCAAACCAATGGTTACAGTATTTTCATTCGAATATGCCGAGCTCAAATCACAGAGGCTAATAATGGGGCTTAGCACTAACATGGCAAGGGTTATTGGATCTACGTTCTCGAGCACAGTCGAACGTGATGTTAGGGTAGATCTTTCAAGGCATACAGTATCGCATTCTTGAAAACGCATTCAAGAATGCAAAATAAAAAGAAGATAATAGGTGTAAAACGAACCCTTTGTCGGTAACCCACTTTTCGACTTCTCCTTCGTGAATAAAATACATACAAGGAAATATGTCACCTTCTTGCACGATCATTTTTCCTAGAAATAAACAAAGATAATTAAATTAATGATGATGGACTGGCCTATTTCTTGTTTTTTTATTTGGATTACTACAAGGTACATTTTCTATGTATTCCTCTTTCACCTAATAGTTCGTCTAGGTACGTACCACCCTCTTACATATTTCTGTCGTCAGTTACGTTCTGAATGACATAGAGGGCCAGTATAATTACAAATATAAGTTTTTTTTTAATAGAAGAAGGGTGACAAACGAGCACAGTCCACCTGATGGTAAGTGGTTGCTGTGGCCCATAGGCATCTACATCTATCTTCGATTACGAATAAAAATGTAGATGCGTTGTCATCCGTGAGGACTAAGATGGAATGCCTCGTTTCCAGTAAAAAGGGTCGCCGGTTCTCTACACTCACCATACGAAACACAGCAGCGTTAAGTTGCTATTTTACGCTGGTATTCTGTGAGAGCGTGGTCCTTCCCCGGTCGAGCCGACCCATTCGTACTACAACCATAATATAGCTGCAGCATGGCTCTACCACGGTTAGTTAAGTGATCGAGCTAATACAGAGACTCTTCTTTGTTGCTGACGTCCGTATCCACATCATTCATAACATCTTCATTTACAAAATCATGATAGAAACAAACGTTAATATTTGAGGTTTCTGGTAAACGCAAAAACCTTTATCCATATTATTCTATTACCCAAAGACCTTGAACTGCCTTTCAAGTACCAGGCTTCTGATCACTTCTTTTGATCTACCTAGGTTATAGTTAAAAATATAGAAGCCAATGTGAACACAAGGTCACCGGTACGACATTCAAATCCTGGATCCAAATTCTGCGCTTACTAAAAAAGATTATGCAGTAAAAATTTGCATTATATTCGCATCTGCTAAAGTACTTTTACAGAAATGGATATAAATAAATAGATTTGAAATTATGTGAATACTTTATGGTTATGGATGTGGGTGACGAACATTTACAATATCAGATTAGACGGAGTATATTTCTACTGATGTAATGTAACGTTTTCATCACCAAAATTTGTCTCGTGGGGGTTGTAAGAGGCATATATGGGAAATGGCAGAGAAATTAAATACCTTCCGACACATTAACATATTGTTAGCAATAGTAAAATACCCAGAACGGTGACGGGAAGCAGCGTTAAACCACCCGCGTAGGCAAATTCTCGCTACAAAATGATAGATCCTAGAGTTCTTAAGTGGACTTTTTCTGGCATACAAAGAATAAACCGATTATTCTATAAAATAGAAGCTAATCTGAGATTTCATTTTTAAGACCCGAAAACAGTCACAACCCTATTTTTTATAGAATATGGCAAAAGAGCACACAGTCCACCTGATGTAACTGGATGCTTTGACTCACAGAGTTTTGTATTTTAATTCTTAATTGAGGATAAATGTAGATGTCTATAGGCAACAGCATCTACTTACTACCAGGTGGACTGTGTGTTCGTTTATCACCCTTATTCTATAAAAAAATCAAATATTTATATTCGATTAAGAATCAAAATGCAGATGCGCTGCCATTCCGAGGGACTAAGACGAAATGCCTCGTTTCCAGGAAAAAGGGTCTCCGATTTTCTACTTTCAACATACGAACACAGCAGCATTGAGTTGCTATTTTACGCTGGTATTCTGTGAGAGCGTGGTCCTTCCCAAGTCGAGCCGATTCATTCGTGCTACAACCATAATATAGCTGCAGCATGGCTACGTTAGAAAACACATTTTGTCTTCTTGAACAATATTTTGTTCCAGGTCAAATTTCTTGCTTACTGATTAGCGTACCTGATTTAGTAATCGGAAACATTAACTGATAAGCTACAAAGTTATCTCAGATATGTTATTATATCTGTGATAAAATGGTATGTTGACTGCCTAGTTCACCTAGTGGTCGAAAACTCTACTGCTGATAATGGGGTCCCAGGTTCGAATTCCGGAATGGGCCAAGGAATATTAGCTATGAAGTGTTTCTGTCAAGAAAATCTTAGTAACAGTCCGGAATCGGGAAGTTGGCGGTGTTTCACCCCCGTGCCTCGGAAAGAACGTAAAGCCGGTGGTCCTGCGCCAGATCTCTCTACGGCCATATATTCAAGCATCTTGCGTAGATGGCTAGTCTCCGTTGAGACTGGTTGTCTTGACCGACATACGACGGTCTGGAGGACATTATTATTGCATTAAAAATCATCCAAAAAAATTAAGACAAAATAAATGTACGAGGTTATCACAGATATCAAATTGTATCATAAATAATAATTCATGACAAATTAAGGAAAAATAAATGATTTATACCAGGAAAGATAACAACCCGATTTAGTCTCGTTACCAATTGGCGAATAAAATAATGAGGCAGGTCTCGAAGGAGAGGCGGTGTCATCAAATGGTACATGTACAGCGCGCCAAAAATATCTTCTCGAAGGCACTGGGGAGCATTTTGTGCCAGCTCAGGTAGCCAATTACCTGTAATTGAGTGCCAGGATTATTCTTCAATTAATAATAATAATTAAATTACAAAATATTCGACGAAAATTCCGATTTAATTAACTAGTACAGAAGCATAGATTATAATAGGACCAAAATGTGAAATTAAACGGTTGTGAGTTTGAATCCGCCATTTGACGACTTTCGTGACTGTCATTACAAGAATTTTAAACTTAGTTAAAGTGGTTTAAAGACAATGAGAAATTCTATTACTAACCTAGTGGTTAGTAATAAAATATCTAGGGTTCTTATTTATTTTTAAATCTGAACATTTTGGCATGTAACTGGATATATTATAAGGCTTAGTTTTTAACGTAATTAAGAAAAGCAGAAAGTACCACTATATTAAATACCATTGTTTTTTTTTAAATAATTTAAACGATATGTCCGTGATTAGTGAACCAACAGATTTCGCTTGTTATTTTTTCTCACCGAGTAAACTTTTCATAAAAATTGGACTAGATCCGTTTATAATTAAGCCAGTAGAGATATAGATTTTAAAATAATCCAATTATTTTAAATAGCCAATAAAGCGTAGTCAATTAAAATGTTCCAATAGGGTGGCGAAAAGTACTTAGCTAAAAGAAATCTTTGCCCATTTAAAAAAGTTAAGACTAGTCAATTCACCTCTCTGCCTTTGCCATAAGTGTTTCGTGTAATTCTCCACAGTTTGTAACAAAGTCGGTGACAGTCCAGTGTGTTTCAAATAAGTAATCAACTTCGCCACGTTATAGTCATAATCATATAATTCACTAAATTTTGTGTACACAGCACTTATCGCAATGCTTAAAATCCATATATCCAAAAGGTAAATAATAAAATTGATTACAATTTTGTAAAAAACTTGCTTTAAATTTAACGTTAAAACCTGCGAAATAACGAAGTTTTATTACTTTTCTTTTTAGTATGGCGAGGACTTCAAAAACATGCTCGTAATTAGTTTCCTGTTTTGCGAATATTTGAATTCTTAGCCGCACATGCTGTCTCGCTCTTGATTAGAGTCCTTAGTGACGACTGTAATACTACACTACACTACTATACCGCACGCCCTGACGCTTTCGACTTAAAACTTAGGGTACGACCTGAATGGCCATTATGTTCTAGCTTATAGGGAAGCAGAGCGTTCGGCGTGATCATGATAAATTGCTCTTGATAAATTGATCACAGTATCCTTAGTGACTGCCGCTCAAAATTTATGATGAACGCGCCACTACATCGCATACCTCGTCTATCGGTCTCCACCCAGGGCCTATCGTACAACCTGACTGCTCGCTCTTTTAGCGTGCAATAGGACTATGCATTCAGTGTGCAAAATAATCATACGCTGAATTAGTGTTCTGTGTAAATGGAAATGAAAGAAAGGTTCTCGAAGGTAGCCTCGTACTGGTAAATAAAGTGTGGGATGGCACCCACTAGATGGAGTGCGGACCTGGTAAGAGATGGAGGAAGTTGTTGTATGCAGGTGGCACAGGACCGTGCCTTGTAGTATTGCTTGGGGAAAGCCTATGTTTAACAGTGGACTTGTGAAGGACCTTAACCATGATAATGATAAAGTGGTGCGGCCGCTTAAAATATATAGATGGCTCCATGGCGCAGTGGCTTAGCAATGAGTTGCTGCGCTGGGGGACGCGGGTTCGAATACCGCACGGAACAAGTATTTGTATGGCCTACAAATAATTGTTCCGGGTCTGGATGTTTATCCTTGTTCAATTTGTGTTTGTAAACTGCCTCCACGATACAGGAGAAAATACTAGTGTGGGGTCAACGTTGTTTAATGAGCAAAAAAAAAAAATATCCCGAACGTACCGCTGCACTGCAAGCCGTACCGAATGCTTCCCACTCTAGCTAAGGCTATTGGTTCCACTCTTGCTAAATATAATGATTATTATAATATATATTTTTATTAGCATGGTTGTTCTGTGCATAATGTTTTAACACTCTGCATTTCGGCTGCATATAACAGTAAGTTGAACGGAATTGTAATATGATTTTTTTATAGAAGTTGGGGTAGCCAGCACGTAGTCCACACCTGATAGTAAGCGGATACTGTTGTACACACTTACATGTATTTATATATTTATTCTTTATGGCATTCCTTAAAATAAAAGAATACGAAAGGCGGACTTAATGCCTTGAGGCATTCTCAATTTCTCATTTTATCAAGTGGTAGAGCCACGCGGCAGCTTTTGCTGTCGCACGGATGGGCCGGCTCGAACCGGGGTGGTACCACGACCTCACAGAAAACCAGCGTGAAGTAGAGGTTTACCTCTGCGTTTCGCTTGGTGAGTGCAGGTGGCCGGAGGCCCTTTTTACTGGAAATGAGGCATTCCATCTTAGTCCTCACGGGTGACAACGCATCTACATTTTGATTTGTAATAGAGGATAGATGTAGATGTCTATGGGCCGCAGCAACCACTTACCATCAGGTGGACTGTGTGCTCGTTTGTCATCCTTATCCTATAAAAAAAAAAATTCTCTACCAGTCTATCCATGGAGCGGTGAAAATTTTGACGTAGT